TTTTATAGTCGCATCAAAGTCTTCATAATTCATGGCCGTGCTACAGCGGACTGAAGTGTTTAAAGTTACATTAACGATTCCAACATTAAATCAATTGTCTCCTTGTAATGTGAAAGCGTCACTAGAACTGTTGATCCCACTTATAATCAAAACCAAACTATTCAAACTTTTACAGCTTTGAGCTACAGGTCGTTATGCTTGACTCCAATGGTTCTTACTGAAAACAGTCTCGCTATCTGTAAGAAAACTTAGTAAATGTTATGATATAGTCATGATGCTGATCCATAATTTAAGCTCAGAAAGTGTATTCAGTATAATGAAAGCGTTTGTGAAGTTAGCTGTAAAGGGCACATGGCCAAAGCTCAGCCTGTTGTAATCGTACCGCAGAACCACCCGACAGCGCTGTCAGGCCAAGGTGCTCTTCTCATGTAACGTCTCATTGATAAGAGCAGCAAACACCTCATTTACAGGAACCTTAGGCTATAAGATCAGGTACTTTAAAAGCCATCCAAACACATTCAGACCCTGCCTGTGTGCCAGCAAATAAAACACCTTGATATCGCCCCAACTAAACTAGGATGATTCTGTCTTAATGTCCCATTTCAGGGACCAAGGAGTCCATAGTCTTTATGGCTCCACAGAAATGCAGGTAGTAATGTTTGACACAGCAGGGCTCCTGCCTTTCAGATGATCAAAGTGACAAGTTCAGCCTGCAACCAGAGCCACTTACAGGAGACATCAAGAAGCAGCAAGATTGGCAGCTTTTACGTCTTTAGTCCATTTCATCAGCCATTACTACCAGCAGAGGCAACGTGCTGTGGAGGACTAGTGGGAGGAGGGGAAGGCAGATTAACAGACAGCTGATACAGGTGTATAGGCGGTATCAAACAGCAGCTCTGTCAATACAGCAGGCTCCAAATTTCTTGAGAAGGGGCTGGGATCCCCAAAGTATGCCCACCGATTTCACTATGACGGGATTAACTTGGAGCTCCGTATGATTTTCGCAGATTCTGTGACTCAACAATTCAGTGATCCACGTTCTATCGGCTTTAAAGGCCCCTATCCCAAGTTTCAAAAGCTTACCCTTCGGACAAGGGACACTCTTTTTCTCCCGTGCGGTTCCGCTTCCCCCTTTTTGCTGCATTCAGTTGTTCATCAACCCCCGCGTCCTCGCCAGCTCTCCCATCCTCCCTTCTCTGCACATCTGCTAGGTTTGAGTTTTCCTTTCTTCCCTCCAGCGCCTGGCTTGGCCCAAGGCCCTTATAGCCAAATTGGTTTACATTGGAGAGATAAATGCTCTGCAAATGCGCTTAAACACGTACAGTAAAAAATGCAGACAGTGCGTGTCAGGATTATCACCCAAGTCAGGGGGAGAAAGGAGAACGTGTCTGTAGCACAAAGCTGGGGAGCCGGAGTGAAGCCTGCAGATATAGTCCGTCTCATCCACTTCTCAGGAGAAAGAGAGGAGGATTTAGCATTTGCATGCTAGTCTGTAATTCCTGGCATTATATAACTTGTCGCCAACAATCAAACTCCTGCGGTATTGTGAAAGTATTGTTTCACATGGGTGAGCAAAGTGTGGAGTTACACTCTTGGGGGAAGGGGTTTTGGTGGCAACATGGAGACAGTTGGTCCAAGACGCACGCCAGAGACCACCCTATAAGCCCACTGAAGAACTGTTCTGCAACACAACCTCAGGTCCAAATATAGAAGGTGCAACCCAAAAATCCTCTCAAAATATTCAGCTTAGAGGACAAACGTCTCACCTGAACACAGCGAGTGATATGAATGAAAAGGCTGAGCCAGCAGTGCTACAGCCACGAAAGCAAAGCAAAGAAAATACAAATTTGCGCAGTCAAAGGTCTGGTCTGCTGTGAAATTCACATGTGGAATATTGTGAGATATGATATTTCATATGTAAAATGTCTGAAAACCATAATGTGCTTTATATGTAAATGCATCACATTTGAAATGAAGTGTCACAATGTCTTCAAATCTCTAAAAATCATACTTGCAGACATGATGTGAATTTATCACTTATTCAAATATAATCGAAAACCTCATGTGCCATTATATAATTTGGACATGGCATTTTTTTCACATTTGATACAAATGAGAAATGCATTTTTCCTATGATGAATTCACATGTACATTTTTCTTGTTAGATAGTTGCGTCTATCCTGCAGATGGAAAATAGCCTGCGATCACCCGGAGGTACAAAGCATCTCTTTTTGTTTGAGAACAAAGTTTTTGTATTTCCGGGACAAAAACGCTTAAAAACAACGTATACTTTGATTTTTAAAATGAGTTACTGGGATTTCCTGAAGCAGCTGGGCTTTGGCAAATATTACTCAAACAGGAAGAAAAATATAGTGCATTTGTTGAAGCTATTTTCAGCTGTGGATGAATCCACATGTGGTGCTTTAGTGACGGCAGCCAGACGGTGTAGGTGGGATTGACTCAAAATACCCAACCATGTTAATCGTGATGTGTTTTTAATGGTGACAGTGTTAGTCTATGACACAGAAGAGTAAGCTACAACAGGCTTTGGCTACTGGTTTTTGGTCTTTTAATGGGATTTGTTGACAATAGAAGAATATCACTAGAATAATCCATCGAAATAAGATAAACTATAATCACAACAGAGAGCCACCGTTATCTCTTTAAATGAGCCTACAAGAATTTTTGACACTCCTACTAAGGGATGTACTATCATGATGTGAAAGAGGTCTCACTTGGTGAAGATAGGTAGGGCTCATACAGACAAACTGGATCCTGAAGACTCAGGAAACAGTATTCTGCCTTTCCTCCCCACCTGCTGCTGCTGCTGTCACACAGCTGCTGTCCCTGTCCACTAGCATCAATGTAAAACCCCTCCACATGCACTGCCATTGGGATTTGGGTGTAAAACTTCCAAACCCCCCCCCCCCCTCAAAAAAAAAATAGACCCCTTTTTCTCATCACCACGACCTGCCCCTCCCTCCAAATCAACGCCGTCCCCCTCAGACCTCCCAACACAAAGCCCTCAGAGCAAACCCAGCAGCACAGAAATCATAGCACACCATTCAATCATTGTTTTTTCCCCTCTCTCACCCCTTTTATGGTCCCACTAAAGGTTTTAGCCGGGCAGAGAAGGAGGGCTGTCACTGAGGAAACCTTAGCCCATTGATGAAGTGACAGGAGCTGCCAGAATATGATCCTAATCCTGTTTCCAGCATTCTTTTAGCCTGCTGGCATCGCAATTCCTCCACACATTCTCTGAGCTGTCAACTAGGAAAATCCCTCTAATAGCGCATTGCCCAGATACACATCAAAGAGCTCCTGGAAACCTTCAGCGGCTTAGCTGCCATAGACACACTCTCTCACACACACACACACACACACACACAAACACAGCCTTCCCATTAACTTACACCAATATGATCTTTACAAGCACACAAAACCAAGACGTTCATGACAAATTGACCACATATTTAGTATGCTTGAAAAAAAATAAAAAATAAAAAGCCCAAAGGCGTCTTTGCAGCGCTGAAATTATATGTACGCACTGTAACCTGCCCCATACTAAACCACCCACCCCTCTCACCTCCCTTTCTCCTGTAGGACAGTGATATAATCTTTACGGTCATGGAGCGAGAAAGCGGGAAAAGACCAGGAAAAAAAAAAAGGTGTCTGAACTTTGCTGACTCCAGGAACCCTTTCAGTCTCATTTTATCTCATTCTATTCTTACTTAATCCATCGATATCCCAACCAAAGGTAATCTTCTTATGGCAAAGCATTCTGTTTCGGTGCAGCCAAACCTCGGCTGACAGGGTTGGGGAAGAGGGGCGCTGCAGAGAGAGAGAGAGAGAGAGAGAGAGAGAGAGAGTGTGAGAGAGAGAGAGAGAGAGTGAAGGGTAGGTGGGTGGATGGGTGGGTGGTGGATTGGAGACTCTTTAGAGCCTGACACTGTGCTTCAGTCATTTCATTTAGGATTAGTTATTCTGCACTGAGTGAACAAGTGGCAGGTTCTCCCCTATGTGGTATGTAAACCTCAGCGTCGAGCATGGTAGACCTCCTGTGTCTAAATTATTTGCGGTTCATCAAGGTGTCTTCAGTGGAACATGTTAACTAAACTTAATTTGTTGAAGGTAATGTGTGTGGAAAATCCAAAACTGTTTATTAAGATTTAGTTTCCTGTCAGTCCCTCTCAGCGCTGTCAGCCATCCAGGGAGAAGAGCTGGATTCGGCACCTAAACTAATCCCTCTCTTGTTGCAAACTTCCTCTCACTGGAGAAACTTTTAGAAAATGCTTTTGGGTGTTTTTTTAAAGACCTTTATGTGAGTGCATGTTTTTGTGCCTGTTCGGATGTTGGTTGGATGTCCTGCTATGTGATTATTCCAGGGTTCATGATCTAGATGATCTTGCCTCGTGTTCTTCTGACTCAGCTTTTAGCTGACGAAGATTCAGAAATACACAAAAGCTGGTGTTAATAAATATCTTCCATTGAGAAAATTTTTATTTTTTTTTTTTATTTATTTTTTTTTTTTTAATGGCATTCATACAGTGTCTCTATTTTCTCAATTCAACCTAAATATGTAGGACTTTCATTCAAGAAGGTTGCCTCCTGTTTAGTTTTTTTTAACCATTTTTAATAACAGATGTTTTCTTTTCCTCTGTGTGGTCATTTCTTGAGTCATTGTTTTAGAATACAGCTCCCTCCTTTGCCTGAGAAAATGTCAAAATGAGGCAATGTGAGTCAGCATAGGAAAGTATTTTCATCTTATATTTCCAACCGATGAAACCGAGAAAAAGAGTCGTTCTTATGTGATTTATTCCCTTGCATTAAACAGATAAATTACTTACATTTTAAACAATTGAGAAATACATGTCTTGAATCTACAGTGATATAATACATAGAGAATGGGCCTGTGCATCTTTCTGCTGAATCCGGTGGCCCAGAAAAAGTGGTCGAGTTCAGTCTGGCACCCGAGTTAACCAAAGAAATATGTCTGCTGGGCTCATATATATATTTGTCGCTGTGCCTCCTCCGCAGATTCTCCCTTATTTCACTGTTGCTGTAGGTCCTTTGCTTAAAGCCACAATTGTAAAAACACACCAAACGTTTCCTCTCAAATCCTTCACACAAAAGAAGACATGGAGTTACTCTTCAGCCAGGCAGATGCAGGCGAACACTGAAGGATATTTACAACGCTCAATGGATTCTGCTGAGTGCTGTAACTTCAAACAAGGAGTCATTTGTCATCTACAAAGAAATACACTTGTTGGGGGATTATGATCTGAGCTTTACTTCTGATAACAGATCAGATGCGGCTTCATTCTGGGTTTTGCGGCTGTAAGCCATGCTTCAGAGGGGTGCACGCATGCATAGTTCACATTCAGGGGTTGAATTATAGAACATTTAAATATCTGTCCTGGAATCAGCTCTGTAGTTTCAAAACTGTCTTCCGTGACTTCACAGAGGAGGCTGAAATCATAGTGAGCAGCTAGCATTAGTAGAGTTGGCTTGTGTTGGTGAACAGGAGGAATCGAATACAAGCAAAGATCCACAGGCAAAAAGTACTGTTCAGTCACAGCTGCAGTCCAGTTTTTTTTTTAGTTTTTTTTTACATCAAGTTCATTGAGGACAGAGCTGTTCTTCATGTCCTGTTGTGCTCCCAGCAGTGAGCTGCATGCCCACATGGTGACGATGAGGTGAAGGGGAATAGGTGCGTTGACAACCCTGAGCTCCAAACTGAGGGAGGGCGCCTAAAGTGCCTGCTCTAAAAAAACGTTTTTCTCTGTTTTTGAAATTGGGTTTCAGTAAAATAACATGACACAAGCACAAATTTTAACTTTGGACAGATTTTGATCAGAGGACTTGTGAATTATTGTTATGTTAGCCAATTGGGTAGCAGCCAGTAGCTTAAGTTTGAATCTGAGATTTTTAGAAAGAATTTTTGGAGATGTGTCTGCGTTTTGGATGGATACACACAGTCGCTGACAGTGATGAGGGGTCAAGAGGAAAGTGAAGAGGGGCCCAGAGTCACCTCCACTGGACAAGGCCCATAATTCATAGGTACGGCCCTGACTGGAGGGCGAACACTTCGACTGAGCAGCCCGAGCTTCAGTTGGGGAGCGTGTCCAATCCCAGCGAGGCTGCATGCTGCTTGGCCCTCATACGGAGGTTCTCTATGCTGGTGGTCTTGCTGTTGAGGCTTCCAGGGAGGCTGCCTGGTGGCGCCTGCAGCAGCGGGCTGTTCCATACCTGCTGGGCCTGCGACATGGTCTGGTAGTAGGACTGGCAGGGCATCGAGCTCAGCGGGGGCGGCATGTTGACGTTCATGCCCAGGTAGGGCAGAGAGGGCGGCGGGCTCATTTCGAAGGACGGGTAGTGCACCATGTTGTTGGTGGCCACCATGTGCTGGCGAAACTGCTCCTGCAGCCGGAAGAGGCTGAGAGGAGACGAAGCGTAGGAGTTGCCCTGCGCCAAACCGCCGGTCACGCTGCTGGAGGACGGCATGGTGGGGGAGCACAGGGGGGAGTCTGAGAGACAGGAAGAAAGGAGGACTTTAATACGTTTTAACACAGATGTTTTGTAGATTTTTGTGTTTATCCTGTTTTTAAATTAATTGTGTGCTCTTCCTACCAATTCAGTCAAATTATCTTGTACATGAATGTGACTGGATTCGTAAATATGACATATAATCACAATATAAAAGAAAAAAGCAGCTGCATTCATTCGACAGTGATATTGTTACCTAATGTGGGGCTCAGCTGTTTGTAGGATGGGGAGCTGCTCCCCGGCTGCGCGCCCCCCTCCCCATGCGTCTCCTCCCTGATCTTCAACCCGGTCTCCCCTCTCATTTCGTCCTCCTCTCTGTCAGCATTATCCTCTGCTGCTGACTCGCTGTCCGACGGCTCGGGGGAGGTGACGTTGACTTCCACGCTCATCTCCCCGGGCTGGTGCCGTGCGGCTGCCTGCCTCTCTGTCTCTGAGTGACAGGATGAAGAGGAGGAGGGAGGGGGAGGAGTGCGGGCCTCGGGAACCAGGGTGGTGGTGGTGGTGGCAGCATCGGTGGTGGTGTTGGTGGTGGTAGTGTTGAGGTCAGTCTTGGAGTCCTCCGTAGAGCCCTCTGCAGCTCCGGACGCCTCCTTCTGTTTCTGGAGCTGCTCCTTCTGCAGGCTGCGCTGCTTCTTACGGAACTTGGCCCGGCGGTTCTTGAACCACACCTGGCAGATAGATGCACACACAGATCAGGGCTTGAGTCAAGAACTATAAGTAACATAACGTGGACAAATTAAAGCCACCGCAAATGACTGCAGTTTCTTTTCACATTTTTTTATGATGCAAGATGGCCTTTAAGACTTCAAGCTGAGCATCTCAGAAAGCAACAGGCAGACAGTACACAGGAGGATAAATGCTTTTATAGGTCTTTACCTGAACGCGTGCCTCGGGCAGGTTGGTGCACATGGCCAGACGCTCTCGCATCACCACATCAGGGTAGTGGGTCTTCTGGAAAGTTTTCTCCAGGGCCTCCAGCTGCTGGGCGGTGAAGGCTGTCCGACTGCGCCGCTGCTTTCGGTGCTGGGAGCCATACCGGGCCTCAAGGATAATGTCTTGAAATGTGCAGCCGTTGAGAAACAAGAAACATGACCAGTTTAATTGAGGTAGAGGTGAAAAGGTCATTTAAGCAACCAAGGGACCAACACACATTACATTTGTGTTAATGCAAAATAGATGGGGATCATGAATGACATTGGATGGAATTGAACAACAAAATGAGCAACTGATTCTTACCAGCTAGTCTCTCTGCAAGAGTGAGGGCATGCACTGAGGGCCTGTAGTCGGGGGTGTGCTGGGCTTGTTGCGCCGCCTGCTGGTGAAGGTTGTACATGGCGCTCAGTGAATTCATAGCGTGGAGCGAGTAGCCGTTCACCCCATAGTGCTGCATGGCCGGTGAGCTGTCTGCAGAGAGAAAGGACTGCTGTGGGTGCCAGGCCTCTTTAAACAAACCAGCCTGTTCTCTGGTTGCAGCGCTTAAGCTAAAGCGAACACTTGAACACTTTGTATTATAATGTTTGTTGTGGGCTGAGTGATTGATATGGCAACAGGTGAAATAAAGCAGTAAAGACTGCACTCCTGAGGGGAAAAAAATATTCCATCATTGAATCAAAAAATAACTAAACAGACAACGAGTGACTTCTAAGGATTTTAAAGTGATGATGGATTTAGCTGAGAGTGTTTATGTGTGTTGTTAGATCCAGTCGGATTATATTTAAGTAACAATGGGTTTTTCCCACGGTTGGTTTGCCCATTCAAGCGCCATGTAAAGCCTTCAGGAAAAATAAAATATCTTGGTTTGAAATTTGTACAAACAGTTACCATTTGATTAAAGAAAAAAAAAAAAAGTATGTTTTTCATGAATCCACAGCTCAACGGATTTAGTTTAAAGACAGTGAAGAGAGGTGTGCAGAATATTAAGAGAGTCAGTTCCATTCAGCAATGACAAATACAATATATATTTAACACCTAATTCACTCAAATAAAATGCAGCATTGGCCTATACAACAGCAAAAAATATATTGAATTTGTAGCTAATCTACTTTTTGCATTATTTAGTTTTATGATGTGGTCCTTTGTTGTTGTTGTTATTTCAACATGCTCATTTTAGAAAACATTAAATCCATGCTGATAATAGTTCATAGTGGTCTATAATTGTAATGAGCAAATGTACAAAAATACAGTTCCCCACTGTATTATAAAATAATAATATAATAATGATAATAATTATAATGATATTATTATAATGACAATACAAATAATATCTAAATTATTAATTAGGAGGGGAGAAAATGCGACTGACATTTTTCCCGTCCACACAAAACAAATCAGACCAATGAAATGAATTCTGATCATTGTCTTATTTCAACATCTAATCAAACTAAATGTTCAGTGTGAAGAGTTTTGATTGGAAACGCATGGAGACGCCGTTAAAGGTCCGCAGACTGGACTGACAGAATTGACAACAACATATTTACTTTGCTCCTCAGAGTTTGAGTCTAGCGGAGGGCCGTTTATTTCAATCTGTGGCGGGTCCCAGGTCAGTTCCAGACGCCCGGAGGCTGTCTGATGTGAGTGCAAATAGGTTTCAACTATACAAAGCTATTAATTTATCATCAGGCCTGACACGGGAAAGATGGGCCAGCGCGCGCGTGTGTGTGTTACTCGGTGTGACTAATGCAAGAACATTTTTTTTATTTCATTGCATTATTTTTACTAAATCAGCCTCTGGCTGCATTCATGTATTCTGCTCGCTTTTTTTTTTTTTAATCTGCAGCTTATACATTCAACATACATGCTCTTCTTTCAGGACAATGTCACGTAGCCTCGGGCTCTGATTTAAGCCTAATTATGCAAATTGCCGTGGATTTATGAGTTATATAGCATTTACTAAAGATTGCCTCGGGGCCGGAGCTCTGTGTATTCATGTCGTCAATTCAGCAGCGTTCAGAAACTTAAACGACAGAGGAAATTAATAGGGATAATTACCATATCGCCTCGTCAATTACCAACCTGTGACAAAAACAAGTACCAAAAAGAACAACGTTGAACGGTTCCCAAGTAAGAATATTGGCCTATTTGTCAAGGAACTCCGTGCAATTTACAGACTTATAACTGTCAGTGTTACTGATTACTTTGATCATTTATAGCCTACACATTTAATCGATTAATTGAGCAAAAGAACGTCGCACTGTTATTGTGTCACTAGTTTTGTTGGGGACCTCGGGAGGTCGACGGACTGCACTTTTGAAAACGTTTTTGTTGAAGACGTGATGGAGTTTGGAAAACAACGAAAGTCCGCAATATTAAACACATACATTTGCAAGTAAAAAATGATAAGAAGGCAATATAAAGTAAGAGTTGTTCGGCTACAGAAATAATTCAGGAATACGAACATCGCCAACTTCGATTCTGCAAACTTCTTACCTGTCTTCTCTCTGTGTCTGAAGCGAAATATCTCCGAATATGTTTTCCCCTCAAATCTTCTTCTCTAAAATCCGCAGGCGGTTCTTCAGTTTTTCATTTCACGATAGCTCTTTCGTTCACCTTGATACCCTGAGAATATCCCGCTCGGTCCGCTCCGTGCTCCGGCTCGCTTCTCTGTGGATGTGGGAGGATGCTGAGCTGCCGTCTACCGGCCTTTAAAGCGCTCCGGGTGGGGTCACCGGGACGCTCACACGCTCCTTCTCTGCGCCAATCACGTCGCTTTCCTCCTCCACCGCCACCACAGCCCCTCCTCCTCCTCCTCCTCCTCCTCCTCCACATTACTCCTCACTTCAGAGATGATTATTCTGTATGCGAGGTGCAGACTTTTCTGCTGCTGTTTTGGAAGAACAAAAAAAGATACATTTGTTGTGTTTTTTATTTTGTACGCAAGGATTTGCTGCCAAAATTGGCAATTATTCTAATTATTAGTATTAAGCCCATTGCTGTATATTTTTTGGAGGTGATAATAATGATAATGTTTATGTTTTGGAGTAAGGTATGCAGACTGACGTAAATAGCAAATTATCTTAATACTTTAAAGATGATTCAAACAAATCTCAGCATGACAGGATATATTTGAATTATGTAAGTCTTTATTATTATTATTATTAATATCTCAGGTTTTAATGTGCTGCTTAAAATCAACTAAAGCTGAGGTCAAGGGGCAGACTGCACTTCTGCTTTCCTTTTTGTCTTTCATCTTTTTTTATTACAAATATTTAAAAATCCTACCAATTATTGTAACCAATTTAAAATTGATTTCCTTTTATCATTAAGGGGCGAATAAACACTCAAATGGATATTTATAGGTTAAGGCTTGTAGCCTAATGTTTGTATACATTTTAGGCCGAAACAACCATTACAAATGTCACAAAACTAAAATCAATAAAAAGAAAAGAAATGATAATCGGAAGAAGAGTCCTCCTCAAATATGTGCTTCATCAGACCTTCAGTGTCTGTAAGAATTGTGAGCTTTAAAAAAAAAAAAAAAAAAACTTCACACACAGGTCTTAATTAAATGGTATGCAAATAGTCAGTAAAGGCCTGCACCACTCGTTTGCAGTGACTTGTGCACGGGGGACTTTCAGGTTAATTCCGGGCTTTAATTTTATTTCCCTGCTGCCTCGGAGTGACTGTGTGTTTGGTGGGAATGCAGCTGAGGTGGAGGGATGCAGGCTGGGCTATACACTCCTGCCTCCAGCAGCTCCCCGGCCCCGAGGGATTTAGGTTGGGATTGGGTAGACAAGACGCCATTTCACCCTCCAAAAAAATGTCTTAAAATGACTGCTGGTAAGAGGATTAAAACAATAATGCCCCTCTCTTCTTCAAGGTTTTTAGAAAAGATTTCTTCTCCCGAAGAAAAACCGTTTAGGCTGGAATTAAGGGCAGCGAAAAGTAGCCTTTTAATGTAAAGCTTGCATATTTTGTTGAATTTTCTCTGAGAGGGAGAGAGAAAGGGGACGGTGGGGTCTGGTGGGGTCTGGGGGGGGGGGGTAAAATCCTAAACGCAATTTGATCTTCGGCCGCTTTCAATTGCAGAAATTTAGACTCCTGATAAACAGCCTGCGTGAGAAGAAAACATGAAATTCTTTTTAAGTTCACTTTGAAGAGTTCAAGTCCTCACTCTTTCACTTTTAATTGGATATTTTAACTGTGAGAATCCAAAATATGAAAAAAAAAATAAAGAAATGAATAAGTTAAGTGGACGTTTTCACGCAACAGGTGGTTATCAGTCAATCAGTGCGTGGGTGTGGATGTTTTTTTATTTAAAAAAAGGAGTGAGCGAATTACAGCCATCAATAATAATAATTTTTTTATTATTATTGTTATTTCGAGCTCATGTGTTGTTGTTTTTTGTCAGTATAAGTGCAGACCATTTAGGCATAGAGGAGAAAAAAATCGGATTAACTTGTGAACCGATGGAAATAAGAACTTAAACTGGAGGTAAATCTGGCCAGTGTCTCTTTGTGAGAACCGTTTCTAAAGCAATTAAAGCGAGAAGGAATTCCTCTCAGCTGCTCTTCCCCAAATCAGCTTTTATACGGAACTTAATGCGGGCAAATGTCCAGCATGGCTGAGGGCTTTAATGTAGCAAGTGTCAAGAGGGCCTTCCATCAGAATGATATTAGGCCAGTGGAGCAGCAGCCCCTCCTGACCATCCACGGATGGAGTAAACTCACCATGACTCAGTTTACACAGATTTTCCATTTTTAGAATAGAATTTGGACACTTTTTTTAATACCTACATGTTAATTTTCAGAACTACGTAATAACAAAGTCCCAAACTGGTGAATACAATCTAAAAGTAATTCACAGTTTTCAAAAATTATTCTGAATTGTTTAGAAAAGTTTTGATGCCTGATTTAGTCTTTTTTTCCCAGGAAAAATAATTACATTTAAAGTTGTTTTGTGTATTCAGCCTTTTAGGGAATGAATTGCAATTATTTACATAATCTGGACATAAGTTATGTTGGTAAATTCAGTGTATATTATGTTGCAGGATTTTAAATTACATTTTGACAATTTTATATTTCCATAATCAATTAATCGTTTTTTTTATAAAATGGCAGAAAATACTGGAAAATATCCATCAAAACTTTCAAAAGCTGATGGTGAAATCAACACATATCTTGTTTTGTCAGAACAATATTCATATAAAACAGAGAGCATCAAACTCTGGGTATTTTTGCTTGAAAAATGCAAACCATTAATTAATTATAAAAGTAGTTTGCTGTTCTTTTGACTTTAAAAAGCCCAGACAGTAGTTCCAGATGTTTTATTTTGCAGCACAGTATTGGTGGTTTTGAGGCCTTATCGTAATAGTTTACCCATCTCTATATTTACCGTTTTCACACTGCTCCTCATCCCGATCACCTTCAGGATCTCAGCACCGCTCGCTGCAGGCTAACTTTCTAAACCCCAAATTCATCTCAGATTTCTGCGGATTTCATTGCTGCACTCATTGTTCTCTGCACTCTGGCTGCGATCAGGCATTATCGTGTTAAAGCCTCTCCTCAGATCTGAGTTATCGTCTTTGCTCTCAATCATCCCCCCCCCCCGCCTGCTTTCTGGATATCAAAACTTTTATCCCTGCATCAGGACTTTGGCTGCCTGAATCAAAGCTCAGCCGAGAAAGCTGCAGCGATTTATAAATCATGTTCAGTTTTTAATCAGGTTTATAACGCATGAATGTTTGTAATTTTACCCCTCAAATGGCTCCCGATATTTCCAAGTGGCATTTTTCATCAAATCGAGGAGAAAGTTGATGCCTTCAGCCTTCAGAGCCCATTACCTTTTATCATTAGGTTTTCTTTAACTTCATGAATATATTTGGTTTCAATCCAGCAGCTCTGGCCTGCACATGCTCTTAGTCAAGGTTAGCTTGTGCTCATTTGGGTGAAATTAATCATTTTGATGTATGGTTTAGAATTGACTGCTTCCTTGGGACTTGTGTGACTGGAGTAACAAAGCAACTTGCCATTAGCGACCCTCCGGCTGTGTATTAGCCGGGCATTCACCTTAAAGACTTTCCTCATACGCGTTGGATACCTGATTGAAATGGACAAATCTGTGGCACAGCCTCTTTTTAGCTGTTCTCAGTTCTCAGTTACCATCAATCTCACATTCATATGGCGGACATCTATTAACAACACCAAAGTTGTACGTACTGTAAGACATCACTCGTTATAACCATAGGAAAATGATGAAGTCTATACACTGTGGTGACAACGCAGACATTAAATAGACAAACTGACTGTTGTGGAGTTCCTGCAACTTAAGAAACCAGTGCAAAGTTAAAGTTACACATTTGAATTATAAAACTTAGACACCCAGTTTGGTGCTAAAGACTAAGGACAGTTTTAGCACCTGGAGCCACATCACCCATAGTGCAATCCAACAGCTGACAGTTCAGTCGGAGATGTAAGTGTGCTATGCTCGTAGCTGCTAATGTAGCCTTGAGCCGCTAGCCTTAAGCAGAGATGAGGAAGTCTGGTGGGCTCAATTCTCCACACACCCAGTTATTTTTTTGTATTTACAACCCTTTTGTTTTCAGCATCTTCAGAACTTTCGGTTTTGAAAAGTGAAGTCAATGCAAAAGTGCTTTAACTTGCATTCTTTCTAATAGCCAGCAGGGGGCGACTCCTCCAGTTGCAAAAGCAATTCTAACATGTATAGAAGTAATGACTCTATTTATGATTTATTACCTCAGTAAGCATTGTAAACATGAGTTTATGGTCTCAATCTCTAGTTTCAAGACATCTTTAATACTGCATGATGTTCATTTCGTAAATGATGGTCTCATTTACCACCACGACGTTGTCCGGTTTGTTGTCTGTGTTTTTCATCTTACAACTTTAACTGTTTTACAGTGTTTTTTCAGTTCATGGAAGTTAATTAACATTTTGGTTACCTAAAATATATTTTTCAGCATTTGGTTACTTAGCTCCACCCTCTCTGTGACTTCTGGTTCCAAAACCTCAAGATGGCGACAGGCCAAAATGCCAAACTCGATGCTTCAAAACAGCATTACACAAACCAATGGGTGACGTCACGGTGACTCCACTTCTTATATACAGTCTATGCAACTGATGCAGACTTAAGTGACATCACTTGAGGACATTTATCAGACACAAAAGGCTTTCTCCAACTTTAACAAATACAGTTGTACTGTAAACAGAATTTGAGACTTTGAGTTCCACTTTAAAAATGCTGATACAACTTTTCCCATTAGCACCTTAGAAAAAATTGTTGTTGCAAGAATGTAATTATTGGGAGACACAGAACTCAGTAATTCACTTTCACTATTGTTTCTCCTTGTATGATCCTGTTGAGACAGCGCACCATGCTGCAGCCAGAGCCGCTCCTCTGAACGGTTTCTCTAGCAGACTTGACATATCGAGGTTGGCAGGTTTGTTTCCTCCCTCTTTCTCAGAGCCGGTCTTTGGTTGTGCCCCTCAGGCTGCGGCCCAGCACAAGGGTTCCTATTGTCAGGGCCTAATCCAGGGGCTACACAGCTTTAGCAACATGGTGGGATAAAAGCCCATCAAACCACTACTTTATGGGGGCAAATCTTTCCTAATCCCTCGCTTTATCTAAACAAAAGGAGAGAAAC